AAAAAACACTTTTAGACATTTGAAGTTTTGAATTATTATTAGAAAAGGGTCAAAATTAGCAGAATTTGCACAGGTTTTATTAATTTTCTTTTCGAAATTCTCTTCTAATCTCCGTAGAAACAAAGGAAATATTTTAAAAAGCAATAAAACAGCAGTAAAAAGTGGCTTTTCTTAGTAATCGGAATTACAGTACTCCAACGTGTTTTTGAACTTTAGAAATTTTAGAAACCCTTAATTCTCTTTGTTTAACATTTTAAAAAATTTCAAATTTCAGAATTTCTTCTTTTCGGTCTGCACAGTGCACAGCGTTCTCCCTTTTTGAAATGCCGGTCTTTACTTTGTAACCTTTCATTTTTATCCCTTTCCCATTACCACAACAAAACCCTTTTTTCCTATCACAGTAACTTCCTTTCTTATCTCCCACTTCAATTTTCTATTCGAGTTCCACTTCCTGTTCCCCAACAAAGCCTTTTTTAATAAAGAACCGTGCTTTTCCTGTGTTAAATCAATTCAAATTTTATGCGTTTTTTGGCCCCATGTGCGCGATCGATCTTGGAAATTTATGGACCGCGAATCTGGGAAAGGCCGGGTATTTGAATTGGAAATCACCGAAAAACAGAGAAACAAACAGGCATCAGAAACAAAGTTGAGGTCACGACCAATGAAAGCGATTCGATCTCTGTGAACCTAGGTCAGAGGAAGGGGAATTCAGATCAAAACTGATCAAATATGTAGACGAGGAAAAGGGGAATAACACTGTGCGTAACACTGTTGGAGATTCAGAAGTTTTGTTGTATATTTATGGAATAAAACTTTTTGAAAATGATCATGCTGAAAAGATGACAAAGCAATTTCGTCAAAAATCAAGATCTCCGTCCAGGCTGAGGTCACAAAAAGTGTCCCTATGGGATCACATTGGCAGGAAAACAATCAAATGGGTACATATCTCGGCTGTCTGATCGACCCACAAGTTCTCCGAATGACTGAGCAAAGAATTGTCCCTGTAGTTAACATTAAATAAGGCTAAGTATGCGTTCATCATTAGTTTGTCAGACTCTTTGACGACAAGATTTTGCCTATTTACAATTTTTTGCAACAAGATTTAAACATAACTTGCAGAACTGTAATTAAAGATGACTGCTTAAACTCTGGCCTCCATTCTTCTTCTATTTCTTCAAACCCTCAAGTTTTGGTTTCCTTTTTGCTTTCGATTCTTTCGATTCAATAAGAAAAACTTGTTCTTACATGAACCTTTTGTAAATCAGATCACTTGGTTCAGACAATCATCCCCATTCCCTCCGACCTCTACCATGAACAATAAGCTCCATTTTCTGTTTACTCCATTCCAAAGTTACAAGAGACAATTCACAGTCAATACAATGAATTCAAAGAAATGTCTACTCTTTTCGATAAACAAGATCCAAAAACACTCAAATTAAACCATAAAAAAGGGCTCGTATATTGTTTTCCATGTTCGAATGTCACAAATAAATGTCAGGTTTATTCGAAAAACAGTAAATACCACTGGAATAAATCAAAAAAGTAATTGGGTGAGCAAAATGGAACTGGGAAACGGGAAATTCAGAGATGTTTTTGGATCTGAAAAGAGAAAAGATATTCAAATGGAACATAGAGATAAATTACATCAAAAATCAACGAGCAAATCACCTCAACCATCAAAAGTTGTTTAAAAATTAAGGTTTATCTTGAAAGCAGAGGCACCCAGAATATTCAACAAGAGAACACACGAAATTCGGAGAGCGGGCAGACGAAAGACATGATTGGCTAGAAATTAATTTTTTTGTGCAAACACTCCGCTGTAGATGAAACTTTCATGCCAGAATTTTCAAAAGAATATCATATTTTCGTCATCTTTCGACCTGAGAACCTTGGTCAAGGTCTGAGCATCGCACTTCCACCATTTCATCTTTAATTTGTTGACCAGCGAAGGTTTAGAATAAAGAAATTCAAATATTTCAATGTCACCAATTCCATAACAGTAATAATTCGTGTTTTTGTTTTCGCATTTCCCCTCTAAAATTATCTAAAATTGATGAAAATCTTGTTTGAAATGTAATTTTTGACCTCCAGACACCTTTAACTCCGAAATTTATGAATTTTATTTGAATTTGTGAAGTGAAGGAGAGAAATCCGGACCTCCAAATATGTCCTCAAAATGTAAACAAACCCGTTGTGTCTTAAGATAAACATTCTTTAGACGGAAAGCAAAGGAAATGTCAAAAAAAAATGTCATCAAAAAAGTTTTTCAAACAATTCGGACGAGTTTTACGACAAAACTTTGAATCTAATTTATTATCTCGCCGAACACTTGTTGTAACATATTCAAAAAGTACATGGCCTGAGGGGATTTGGTCGATCTTTGAACGGGCTTGGGGAGATGGTAAGATTGGGGGAGGACTTGATGACGTTCGGTTGGCTTTTAAAGTTTTTGAAACTTTTTTACGGTGACCTTTTGGGTTATGATGATTTTAAAATTTTTAAAAGGTGTAAATTATTCATTTGAATCCCCAGATCGCTTGGTAAACGCATTGTGAATAACTCCATTTTTTATTTTTAAAATTTAAAAACGGTATTTGAAAACAAGAATATTTAGAAAATAAAGTCATTGTCAAAGAAAGGGACTGTCTCAAAAAGGCGTTCGAAATGTCACCAAAACTTTTTTGTTGCTCTTGATACCTCCTGATCCGCTGTTCCCATCCAAATCTCAGCTCTTTTCACGTTTCAATTCCTCTGAACTTTCTGACATTCCGTTACTTTTTCTGAGACAAGAATGTTGGTTTGAGTTTGGTTTCGAGAGATCATCCATCTGTTTATTCGTTGGGCCCTCAGGACTCAACGTTTCTATATATATCTTTGAAAGATGGTGTGGTGAAAAGCGTAGAAAAAAATGATTTAAGTTCATAGTTTGCAATCAAATCTTTAAATGTCATCATTTTTGACAATGCTATTCAGAGTTGAATGCTGAACTTTAAGCTCAGAACTCACGCAAAATTACATTAAAATCGATGTTCGGTGGGTCGAGATATCTCCAGAAATTGTAAACGCAACCGTTGAAGTTCACAAAACAAAAGCCGATAAACTTTGGGCGCCAAATGTTTTTTCATCAGATTTGACTGGTGCCAAAATTGATCAACCGGGCCAACAGGCGAAGAAAAAACAACTTGACACACATCAAATCATCAAAACTCAAGACTTTTTGAATCACAAAAGGGAAGGTAGAGATAGAAATTAATAAGGAAAAGACTGTGAACCGTGCTTAATCCATGCTCCCTCAATCAACTTTTATTGCTTTTTCGTGAATTCTTTGGCTGAATTTTAATATGTTATCCTGGAGGATCTGATAATCGTTACTAAAAAATTGATAGAAAAGTAAAATCAAACCGGATTTTTTGACGGATTTAAGCCTTTTTTTCGTTGTGACGCTAAAAGAAATGGCCAAAGGAAGTTGGGACGTTGGAAAACAAAAAAATGGTGAGTTTGTGGAGTAATCCCGTTACAACTGGACAATTAGTTTGGTCACACGATAAATTTCTTGAACTTTTTTAAGGCCAACTTAATCTGAAATCTAAAATAAGTCATTGTGCCAATATACCATAGTTTTTGAGAGGGTTTTTATGTAATGATTGACGCTTGTGATGCAATTCAATGCAATATGCAAAGAATGGGTCCTAATAAACATTTTTTAATTTTTCGCCACTATTTCTCCAATTATTATCATGTAAACCTTCTGGGTCTTATTATCTCATCTTGTAGAATCTTGACATCAAAATGTTAAGCCCTTAGGCGTCATTTGACATTCGATTGTCGCGTTTGCCGTGTTCCCGCTCGGCCTGATCTCATCATGTCCCGATAAGCGTGATGATCCTCCCCCATTCTTTATTCGCCCTCAGGGCACAACTGTTTTCCCGCCGGTCCCCTGTTTTTTTCAGAATTCGAATTCGGCCTGACGAGGATATGATTAAGCTCAGCGGGATTATTTTGTGGCTTTTCTCGGGCTGATTGAGTGGAAAAAGTGGAACTTAATTACTCGGATTACTCGCAGAGTTGCACGGTCTGGAACTTATAAAGTTGTGGGTCCTTAATGGGCAATTAAAGTCGAATTTAAGCACGGTGATGTGAGATGGTGGATCCGTCTTGTACAAAATTACATTCTGGACCTTGACTAATAAAGTTATTTTTGAAAAGTTTTATATTGTTTGAGATGGTATTATTCTCAAATTTCATTAAGTTGTCCTACATCACCCTATAAATTTGCATGGTCAATACGATATGATAAGGCCGGCGCATTTCCTGAGCTATTTAGACGTTTCGTCAACACACTGTCGACTGACGAAAACATTTTCGATAAAGTTCTTTCGGAAGAATTTTTGGAGGACGAAATTGGTCACAGAAAATCAAGAAAATTTTTAAAAATTTGTTTCAGGCAGAGAACAAGATCTGTCTCGGCTAGCCAAGAGAAAAACAGCCAAAGATTTTCATCCAAAATTATATTTGTGAGGAAACGCCACCTTGATTAAATCTTGGAAATAATAGCTTCAACGATGTTGGATCGACGTGAGACCCGACTTGTGACCTCTTATTTGCTTTTCAATATAGAGTTAAATTATTGTGTCATCAATTTATTTTTTCTTAACCTGGACAATTTCCTTTTTATTTCTTTTTATTTTTTGCACCGTGCGATCACTCCTCGAAGGGCGTTTTCGGCCGAAATTATCAATCTTCTCACCAGTTATTTTTTGATTGCCTGAGGGCTGACAAACTTATGACAATTTATCTTCTTTTGTTTATATTTTCCGAGCCAAGGAAACCCAGACTTCAGAAGGCGGATTAGTGTTCTTCTGGGGCACACTTTCGTCGTGATTTTTTGGGAATTTGACATTAAAAAATATTCTTTTGAAAGCGAATAATTTCAGATCTGTGCTCATCATCTAGGCATTCAATTTACGTAACTCTGGTCCAATGTCGATCCAAACAGCAACATGATTCTCGTGTTGACCACCATCCTCAGCGAGCTGATTCATTCGCCCAAGTTCAAGGTATGTCATTTTGGGCCCTCAGGACAAGTGTCAGGTTTCTGACGTTCTTCCACATCCTTCTTGCAACATATGTTTTGAATGTGTTGACAAGAATAGACCGGGAGAGAAATGTTATAAGTGCACTTTTTTAAGACCCGTATTAACGAGTACGCAGACATTGGGCGTCGCGACATTTGCGGGCAACCACTTTGCGGGCAGCTGACATTTTTTGATTAGAATATCTATTAAGTTCATCCACTGCTTTCAAAGTTACGGGAGTTTTTTCAAAAAATGGTAAAAAAAATGCCTGGATAAGCTTATGATAACTATTCGAGGCACTTATACACATGGAAACTTAATCCGCGACATCTAATCGTCGAGCCCATCGTTTGAATTTCCAGCTGTAAGCAAATTTTGGCTGATTTCACAACATGTCAGCAGAATCTCCGTGGTTTTTTCAAGCTGCCCGCAAGTGTGGGCCGCCAAACATTGACATACATACTGTAAACGCAGTTTTAAATTCGAAAAAAATTATCTTCAACCAAAAAGTTTTAGAAAGAAAATGATTTTAAAAAATTGGAAGAATTTACTGATTTGCCGGTGATTTATAATGACGGTAAATATCTGTTCTCCTGGCGGATTGAGGCCTCAATCAATCAGCACTTAAAAATACCGCGAGCCCGATCTCTGATGACATTTTTCTTTTTTTTTTATCTCAAGTTTCAAAAACACTTTGGGCCGCTTAGAGTCCAGAAGGAAATTGCGGATTCTCAAACTACTTTTTAACGGTCTGCTACTCGAGCCTCCAATTAATTACTCCGCTTCCGGATCTGCTTTTACTACCCACGATTTGATTACATTCCCAATTCTCCTTCTATTCGGATTATGACTTCCAAAAATTCTCAAAATTGCATAAAAAATCTATGGTTCTGACTTTGCATCAATCTTTTATTTCGTGACCTATTTTGGCCAGCCTCTGGCCACGTTTTGTCCCAGTTTAAGGTCTCGCAAATCTAATAGCATCATCCAGATTTATTGGGGATCTTTCTTTCGTGGCGTTTGTTTCAATTGTCTGTCGATTTGTGAGTTAATTAGAGGTCATTAATCAGGTGTTCGGAGATCTTTGTTCTTTTAGGACAATTTATAATTATATTTACAAAAAAGAAATTGGGAGTGAAAGCAACTTCTGTGGTTAATATTTATTTCAACATCTTCCAATATTGTACCCGATCTTCACTTTTTTTATTATTCTTCTGTGAATTCTACCAATTGTCACAAGTCCCGTCTGGTTCCGACCTCAAAATGCAACAGGCTCGAGTAGCAGGCCATCAGAATCCCCGTAGACGCCACGCCAGTAAACACGATGGGTTACAGAAAGTGAAGCCAATCTCTCTGCACTGTGGATTACTTGTCTTCATCTTTGTCTACGCCTTCGTCGGCGGTCTCATCTTCACTCAAATCGAGATCTCAGCCACCAAAGCCAGAGATGAGGCGCTGTATAAAGAACAGACGGAATGCGTGGCTAGGGTGAGTTTTATTATTTATTATTGTATATAAAACCAAGCCTCGGTAAAACAAATCGCAAAGAACCAGACAGTTTATTACAGAAGGGTTTCGCTTCTTTGTTGCAAAGAGGTGTATTATATAATAAAATGGCACCAAAAATACAACTTTTTCCATGGGTCCTTTCTCTCTTGTTGTAAATTAAAATGTTACGCCCTCATAGCCTGATCTCATTTCTTCCATTCGAAAGTCAGTTTCGACTCATTATTAAATAGTAATCATAATAACCCTTTCAGAAGCTAACTCTCCGCAGCGCCTCCAGTCAGGTCGGCCTGAACCGAACCACTCAGGCTATTGCGGAATGTTTTAAGCAGGAAGTTGATGTCCGATCTCAATGGGGTGTCGTCACAGGTACGCTTTACGGGTTTGGGATCGTCACAACACTCGGCTACAATCGAATAGCCCCGATCACCACGACCGGTCGATTGGTTTGTGTTCTCTATGGTCTCCTCGGCATCCCTGTCACCATGATTATCATTGCGAATATGGGACAATATTTTAACAATTTTGCTACAATAATTAAGAAAAAGGTTTGCAAATTATCTTTGGACTGGAACAAGTTTCATCAAAGTATTAGGCTGGGGAATAAGTCCGCAACGATTTCTTTATTGCCTCGTCCTGCAACGATTGTTTGTTGTTTGGAAAAGTTTATATATGCATTCGAAAGAGTTCTGTCTCCTTTACAAAACTGTGTTTTTAGTTTTTTTTGAAAATTTAATTTTTAATTATTTTTTGGGCTTAAAAGTGAACCATCTAAGAGGCAAAAATTTGCGTTTTCGACACCTGCTTTTTTCGCCGAGCAGCACGTGGACGCAAACGGCGGTCTTTGTATCGAATCATCATCGGGGATGAAAATGGTGTCTGTACGTCAATATATAGCAAAATGTTGACTGTTTGCTGGAGTGGGTGGCCCCAGGGGACAGTCAAGCAAGACCCCACCCAACAAAGGTCATGATCTGCATTTGGGGGACTGGGAAGGCATGGTGCCTTGGGACATGCCTTAAAAGAACGCCACTGTCAACAAGGAGCTCTATGATGCCCAACTACACCTCGGAAATGGGGCTATTCGACTGAAATCAAAGCCAAGTCGTATTGCTCCACGAGTCATCTTGCTCTCATGTTGCACAAGTCGTCAAAACCGCACTCCATGAGTTCGAATGGGAGGTTATTTAGCATCCACCATACTCTCGGACCTTGCGCCAACCGATTACCACCTTTTCCGCTTTCTGTCACACCAAATCCGAGGTGAAAAATTCGATGGCGAAGAGGACCTCAAAAACTTTTTAAGCCCAAAAAATTATAAAAAATTAATTTTTCAAAAAAAACTAAAAACACAGTTTTGTAGAGGAGAAAAAACTGTATCAAATAATATATATTCCCTTTGCCAAACAACAAACAATCCTCGCAAAACAAAACAATAAAAAGCTCTACGAACTTATTCCCCAACCTAATACATTTGATTTTGTATTACTTTAGATAATACTTTACCAAACCAACCGACAACGCAGGCTTTCGGCAGCCAAGATGAATGAAGATGAAGTTCCGGAGTCCAGCACGGCCATGGTTGGACTGGCTTTATTGGCCTGCTTCATTATATATGTCATCCTTGGCGCCATTTTGTTACCCTTACTCAATGGAGAGGTAAAATGACATAAAAATAAATATTAATAATACTTTTTATCAAATCTTTTAGTTCGATTTCTTGAATGGCATCTACCACAACTTTATTTGTCTCACAGCCATTGATTTCGGGTCCCTTGTACCCACTCGGGTCGAGTTTTTGCCCATCACATTCATGTATGTCTGCTTTGGATTGGCCATGACTACGATCGCCATTCAAGTTGGCAGTGAGTACATGAAGAAATTACATCATTTGGGACAGAATCTGAAGAATGTGGCGCATACGAAGGTCTGGTTTGGAGGAAAAACGTGAGTTTTTGTGGCTAAATTACATGTATTATCCTTGGTGCAATATGAATAGGTATTGTAGGTGGTTTTATAGAAATTTATTATCTTGAAAACGGGGAAATACGTAAGTGACAAAAAATTGACAAGAATTTTCTCAAAATTTATTGTAGGAGAAAGAAAGCATCGGGGTTTCGAAAAGGGCGAGATTTGAGGATTGAGATCAAAGTGGAGTCAAAGATGGAAGAAATCTTATAATACTTGTCTAATATCAGTCTAATTACTACCTATACTGCGGTTGCTTTACATGATTCACATTATTCACACCGGGTTGTTGGTTGAGGGATCTATTCGAACCGCGAGAATGCCCCGAGGCAGCTTGCAATTGAGAGCCCGGAACGGCTGGAGGAGCGGCCGCTGAGACTTGAGCCTGTTGACGTTGAACGACAGGATTCTCACTTGAATATGTCTTGCATTGCGGGCACATCCAAGTGACATCATGACATAAAGATTGGCTTTTGCAACGATGACAGAGATGCCGTTGGAAGTTTTGTTGACCTGCCAGGTGACTGAAACGATCCATCAACTCGGAACGGGCGCGGATCGATAGGCAGTCATCTAAAATACGAGTTTTAGGAGGATCCTTGTGGATTAGTCATCATTTGCACTATACAATCTAAAAAAGTCGTGGGGCTCTAACAACTTACAAGTCTGTTGTTGTGACATTTCCACGATATCCTCTGGTCTATTTACCATCGTCAGGCATTGTGCCAGAAGATCTTGTAGTTTACATCTATCCAGTAATGAGAGGCGAACAAAAACCGACAGCTGTGTTTGGGGATTTAAGAGAATTTGAGCGCATTTCCGAAGCAATCCTTGGGATTCCATCTTACAGGCAGCCATCAGAACCGGGCCAATGTTTGATTCTAAAGTAACCGCCGATTAGGTTTTGGACCAATATTATATTTGACATCAGCAATATCATTTCTAAGGCTAATATAAGACATACCCGTGATCCTTAACTGTGGTGGATATATGGCCATGAGGAAGTACTTGAGCTCTTCATGAGTGCAAGGACAGTAGATGTCATCTGTACTATTCAGAGTAAATAGCCGCTCTTGGAAGACGGTCGACCAGGCAGCCACATAATACGGATTCACATTATACGAACGACCACTTTTGCCTCGGACAGAGGCGAAATTAAGGTCGCTGGGATTGAGGAAATGATCCATATCAACGGGAGGCTCGGGCAATTCCTGAAGATATTAGACTTGCAGTTGAGACCTATAGACAGAAAAGTAATTTTAAGGGGAATACATACATCAGGAGGGGGAGATCCGTGCATGCGTTCGAGCAAAAGAACCTTCACTCGATCCGACAGACCATAATATCTTGTCCCACTGAGATCTAGGCGATGAGAAGGCTTCAGTTCTCTTAACAGAAGAGCTAACAACCTATTGAGCTTGTAACGATCGGCTAGCCAGACCTTCTCCAGAAATGGCAGTTTGTGGACGATGAGGAAACATTCACAACGATGAAGAAGGCCTTCCATCTAAAACAATGCGTCATCATGAGATATGAATTGCAGCAACAAATGAGTATAATTGATAAGAAATTACTTGATAATCATAGGCAAGTGGCAGCAAGATATGTACAGTTTGTTCGTCGATAGTTTTGTACGTGGGATGAATGGCCAACAACATCTCATGTACATGATCGTATTGCACATTGGCCAAGATCAACTCTCGGTCCGGGCATTCTGTGCACCAGGACCGGAGGATGGGCGACCAGACCGAGATGTAATGCTCATCCACGTACAATCTTTTCCCATCGATCAACAAAGGCCGAGTCCGTTGAGCATCGGGTCGAGTGAAATCCATCTGGATCTCCATCGAGGACTGGACTTGGACCGGACTGGGCTGACCTGAGTTGGGCTGCGAGGAGAGGAGGGCATGGCTGGTCTGGAGGGAGGGCAGTCCGGCGTTGGGGCCCAGACTCAGCTGATGCAGCTGGTCCGAGCACCCGGCCACACCCGATAGCCCGTCCATCTAAGGGACTGGCTGGCCGGCGGAGGTAGGATGGATGAGTTTGTGATCTGAAATATGTATATACAATTACTTTTTGCATAATTCAGTGTCATTTTTTATTAAATTTCGCGCGAATTCTTGTTCCGCGAATAGAAACGACAATAGGAATTACCACGAAATCATGAATTATTCATTAAGTTAACACAAATGCAATATCATTTTTGTTTCAAAGAGCACGCAAAAACAGGATCCTTAGATCTGACCGGAGCCAGACATTATCCGACATCTGAATACGAAAAGCGAACCGGCCGTTGAACCGTTTTTTGCGGTTTGAACCTTTTTCGGAAGCCCCCCCCCCCCTCCAGTTGACTGCGGAGACACCGCCCTTCTGGTTTCGGCCGCCCCAACTCTCCTCTGTCTTTAGGGCACAAAAATTGGAAAATTCCCTCAGGGCGCGGAACGATTGCTGGGATGGCTCTTGAACTTCTCCTTGGGGCATTCGGCTGATATTTATTTCTGTTGCACAAACTTGTTGATAGGAGCTCGTGATGTGTCTCCAAGATGTAACCAGTGAGGTTCGAAAAATAATGCCATTCAATTTCGCGGCGAATTTGCATAATTTCTCTTCTAATTGCGCAAAACGGCATAAGTCTAATAATGCGGACTTAAAGAAACTTTCCCCCGAATCCGAAAACATCGAGAAATGCTGAATGCGGCCAAGAAAAGCGGCCCAAAAAATGCATTAAGAACGATTAGCCACCGAAACGCACCGATATAGAAAGACATTACGCAGATTGGAAATGATAGGTATTATGAGTACGATAAAGACAGACTGATACGGAATTCGAGATTATTTGTTGAATCTAATATTAATTTAACTTAAAAGGGCAAACAATTAATGCCGTTTGCTTCCAATTTTAATGATTAAATTAATTCGGGAACGCAATAAAAAGTCTGCATGAACAGAATATGGGTGGCAAGTCATCAGGAAGCTGCAAAGATAGGGTAGATAAACTAAATAAGCGGGCAAATGGATGCGGTAGGATGACAAAAACATAGATTTCGTCTACAAAATGTGTAAGTCATAAATACAAGTCGTCTATGCGACAAAGAAGTGCTCAAACCACTTTTAACCTATAATGTAATACATCACATCACGTTGGCTTTAATTCCAAAGAAACTTTTCCAATTCCATGACTCCTCAGTCCAAACCCAAAGAAAGGGCTCCAGGTTGCCCTAAGGGCACTTGATTCCAGTTCCCCTTATTCGAATACCTTTTTGGGTTCGGTTTCCACTAAATACGGAAAAATGCCCCAAAAAACGGAGAGTTTTGTGGCCGAGGGAATTCATTCCCTTTTCGGCCGTGTTTTCTCTTTTTTCGAAGATTTGTGTGTTATAACCTCAGTGCCCTTTTCCTCTCCACTTTTTTTTATTTTCTAATCCATTCCAGAACTAATCGACTAGAATTTCCCTTCGAAAAAGTTTTCCGCCAAAAAACAATAAAAAATATCGAGAGGGAAAGGAAAGGGAGAGGGGAAACAAAGTAAAAGTAACATTCCTCGGCAAAAAAGGGTTAGAGATGACATCCGGGGGCTGTAAGATATCGACGGTCATGCTTAAAGCTCAAAGCCGGGTGATAGGACGGGAAGTGGGAAAGCAATTTGTCAATTATTTACATATTAAATTTACAGCACAAACTCTGTATAACGAATAGCAACGGATAAAAAAATCATTATAGAAAGGCTTCGTCGTACGGAGGTTCCATCTGGTCTAAAAACCGACTTGTGAGACCTATAAAATTGTTGGTTATAGAAAAGGTTCATTGTGGGGACCTAAGTTGCACAGTGGTTCCACTATATTTTAAGCCTAAATGACCAATCTAATCGAGTGTAAGATTAAATTTGGGGTTGTTTGGAAAAGGAAACTCTAAACAAGGCACATCACCTTTGAGAAGTCATATACAACATAACCCGACAACTCTTGATGACACTTTATTCATTCTCAATGTCTGTAAATTGGCCAGAACTCCTAAATTGTGTTTATTACAACTTTCCTCTTCCTTTACCTATTTCGTATGACCTCAAAGACCGAATGCCCATATATCATCCTGTAAATCCCTCAAATTCCTTTCCCAATATTACCCCATAAATTCCGATACACAATTCCACCTTCGGAAGCCGAAACATGCACAGAGTATTTTTTTCTGTTCTAAATGTGGAAAAACGACATATATAAAGACTCTTCGTCTTTGGGCTGAGAAGAGGGTGGGAGTAGGGACTGTTAAAAATGGGAAAGAAACCAAAAAATAGAGCGTTTCCAAGAGGCCCTAAACATGAATCCAAAGTTGTGGGGCCCGAAAAAAAAGAGGAACGACGACAGACCAACACATTTCACGTACTCGCCCAGTACGTGTGCGCCCCCTCTTGATGGGCGTAATTAATAAATCTAAGGCAAGCGAGTTGGCACTATTTTTAACGGATAATTGCAGCAATTTTACAGACGAACACTAGAAAAAGGAGTACAACACAGAAGCATAAAGAAATCTATGTAAAGACAATTTATTTCAGCCTCAAAGTCCGTGATCTTCTCCATGCGGTGGGAAAGAAGTGCGGAGTGGACCCAGAAGTCATCGACAACATGGACCTGGAGAACATCGTGGAGAGAGCTGTGGCCATCCAAGAAGGGAAAGAACCCCCTCCAGATCTGAATGATGAAGGAGATCCGCCTTCCGATCCCCTCAAAGATATAAATGATAACGAGGCAAGTCCAGACATCGAGGCTCAGCCCTTGATGGAACAGGTTAGTACTCCCGACCTGGTCATTCTCGAACCAGTCTGCGAGATCATCGACAATTCGCTGGACCGAACTCCATCCATCGAATTGACAGACCCCGAGGTTAGTAATAGTGCTAGTAACAGTGTAACATTACTAACACTGTTTTTGATGTAGTGACAAGTGAATCCCCGATAACGAACCCCTATCCCGATTGTGAACATATATCAAAGTCGTGTTACCAATGAGTAACTTTAAAATTTACTTTCAGCCTCCATTTTTCGACATCTGTAATTTCATCGCGATTGATGTGGAACTCCCAGAAGACAGTTCCGGCGAAAAGACCGTCGATTGGCTGGAGCCAGTCCAAGTGACCCGCCCAATCACCGAGACAGTGGCTGTTGCAGAAGACATCGCCATGCCCGATGAAGTGGAACAACCCCCGCCAATTGTAGTCCTTTCCGATGACGAAACAATCATCACAAAACCAGATGAACCAAAGAAATTTGAAGAGAAGAAACAAAAATATGGAAGAGATGCCAAGAAGTTACATGAAACATACCAAGAAGAATGGGACCGACTAGAAAGATTGGGACAGAAACGGCTGGGATCTCGGAGGCGGTCTGTTTTGGCCGACGATCCCCCATCTGCCGGGTCTTCTAGACGATCTAGTCCGGTGAGAAGTTCCACCCCAAGTATCCGAAGCAGTGCCAGGAACAGTCCAGTCAGATCTGGCCCCAGTCCAAGCCCATCAACTCCAAAGGTCCGAACCCAGCCATCTCTTGCTACAGCAGCCAAAGTAGCGATGTTGGCAGCTAGGTTCAACAAAGGAAATGGAGATAACAAACTAAAATCAGGACCGGGTCCAGCCCGAGGGGCAGTCCAAGCAGCGAAAGAGGCGTTGGAGAGAAGATCTAGTCACACTCCAGCTGTATCCCCATTGCCTGTAAAGAAGAGGTTTAAATAAGATTAGACTCGAATAAACTTATCGATAATATTATTACCACAATCACTTTTAATAAAGAACTTCACAAAGTTGAGACATGAAAAGATGAAAACATAAAGATAATATGTTACTGAGGTCTTTCTGATTTCCATGGATCTTCTGGATGGCCGATCATGAAGTCCTGGAGGAAGAATCTACTTCCCTGGGGCTGAGAGTTGAGGGTTTTGATTTCATCAGCAGTCAATTCGAAGTCGAAGATCTGAGCATTCTCCTGGATTCTTTTGGGGGTAACACTCTTCGGTATAATGGCAATATTGTTCTGGAGAAGATGACGGAGCAAGATTTGAGCCGGGCTCTTCTTGTACTTCTCGGCCAGCTTCAGAACTTCTGCGTTTTCCAGTGGTTCTTCGGCAACTGGCCATTGTTGAGTTCTGTAACATAAAAAGATTACAAAAGAACCAGATTAGCAACAAAATGTACTTGTAATATAAAAACTTACCGTCCATTAGGGAGAACAAACTTTGATCGGCCGGGAGATCCCATTGGAGCATAAGCAGTTACAGAGATGTTGTGCTTCTTACAGAACTCAACGTGCTTCTTCTGTTGGAAATAAAGATGAAGTTCGACTTGCGAGTTGTGGACGGGGACATCACTAGACTTAAGGATCCTCTCGATCTGTTCTTCGCTGAAGTTGGAAACTCCAACAGCCTTGGCCAATCCCTGCTTGTAGACTCCGGCGATTCCCTTCCAGGTATCCTCAACCTTGACCGAATGATCTTGTTCGGTCATTTCATGCTAAAAAAATTACATAAACTTGTGTAAAAACATCATTAAGTAACAAAAACAACCTACGTTAAAAGCGGCAGGCTGATGAATGAGGTAAAGGTCAACGTAATCGGTTTTCAGCTTCTTCAACGAGTCTTTCAAAGCTCCCTCAATATCCTCTGGACGATTGTGAGAGCACCACACCTGAAAAAAAAATAAAACCTCATTATTAGACTTACCTTCGTAGTGATAAAAACATCTTCTCTCTTCAGCTTTCCGGATTGGAAGTATTTCTGAAGAGAGTCTCCAATCTCCTCTTCGTTTTGGTAGATGGCAGCCGTATCGATGAGTCTGTAACCGGCATCAAGAGCCACAGTCACTGCATCACCAACTTCTCCGGCTTTCGACTAAAAAGTATTTAAACTATCTGTGAGGAAGCTAACACGATAAAGCCAGTCTCCAACAGCAAAAAACTCACCTGCCATGATCCCAATCCAAAGATGGGCATCTTGACTCCATTGCTGAGCGTAACAAAAGTGCTGGAAGCCATTTTTCAACCTAAAAACCGACGTAATGAATGTCCGGAACAAAAGGAATGATCAAATTTATGATAATAAGTTCACGACAAAGACCGTTTATCAATCAGAATTAAGCCCGGCCTCTCTTTCTTGTTCTATCATCCGCTTCCTCACTTTTTAGATACCAATCTCAATGTTGTAGGCAACTCGAATAAAACAGGCGGAGTTACTTTTAGAAACTTCCAGGCATCTGGCGAATTCTGAAACTAGGAAACACAAACAATCCACTGATATTATCTATGTTCCGTCTGATAAGACTGATGGAACTTGCACATCATCCTCAATGTCCAAAAAAAGAACATAAACTAAAGGTTTTTGATGAGAATCAGACTCGTAAAGACTACACACCCACCGTAAAAGGAGTCAAAGATCTCCGTCGAACGCGGCCTATCAACTTCTGTGAATCACTTCATGTCAAAAAGTGGAAGGTCAGTATGTATAACGCTCAGAATGATAGCACAAAATTCAGTTTGTTTCAAGCACCCTCCTTCTAGTTTGGAGTTCTGTAGAAACGTTTGTATAAGGACTCGTTACTGCCATTCCCAATTTAATGTAAAACATCTGTTTACATTCTGAAGTCAATAACAACACCATTCCCAACCCGCGGCAACCCGTTCTATTGTGTTGTATCTTCCCAAAATTTCACAAAGCCCCACAAGGCCCCACACGATGCAGGATAAAACCTTGCAAACGAGTTCAGACGTTTTCGGTGAATGATAAAAACAATATCACATACCATTACACGAATATGAGCCATTCTTTAGCTATTCGTCGCTGTGAATACGAATAATAAGTCAGTCCAACAACAACAGACTGGTCAACCCAAACTAATTTGGCCAGAATTGGGGGCCGATCTTTTGTGGACAAAATGCCACAGATTCTACTTGTTTTGCATTTCGTCCCAAAAGTTATTGGAAAATAAATATTTTTTCTGGCGCCAAGGAGAACATCTTTTTTATAGAACGTTGGGTACCTGTCACTTCACTGTTCAAGGCTGGGCAATGTATATATTTAACTGCGGATCTATAGATCACCCAGGTACTTTACTTCTTCTTTATTTTTAATTGATTTAGCTGGGCAAGTGTATTCCGTTGATTTGCATCCAAGTGGACGATTGTTGGCGACTGCAGGCTTTAACGAAAAGGGGAAGGGATGTTTGATAGTTTGGGATTTGAGTTCCTTGATTGGAAACTCCAGCTATTTGGCAAAAGGTAATGAAACGGTGTTTGTTATTATTATCGTTATTTTTAGGGATAAAATCCGAGAAAACAGCAGAGAAGGCAACGTCTAAACGACTGAAACTCGATGAAAAGAGTCATTTAAGTAGGTTACTCCAAGTACAATGGATTCTGATTTTAGAAAGACAAAATTGTGTCCGCTGGAGTCGGATAGACGATGGGCGATACCTTGTCCTAACTGGAGATAATCCAATTGTTCATCTTTATGAACCATTGTACGATATGGAGAACAATTCATTCGAACTTCGAGATGCTTGTCAATTGGTTGGGCATAAGATGGAAGTTATGCACGCGGAATTCAATCGCGATGGAAAACTTTTGGCAACTTGTTCATTAGACACATCAATTATTGTCTGGAATATGAGAGACCTCTCCAAACCCATGAGGATACTAACGGCAGAAGATGGCGGGCATACGGATATGGTCAGGGGGTTAGTTTGGGATCCATTGGAGAGGTTTTTGATCACTCAATCGTCTGATCAGACCATTAAAGTCTGGAGGGTTGGAAATTGGGAATGTGAGCAGACAATAAAAGGATTTGCTAACGTAAGTGTAATAGGTTAAATTATAATAAACGCTTTCAGCCTTCTAAATTCTATTCGCGATTAGATTGGACAGCGGACGGATCGATGTTAGTGGCACCTTGTAGTAGTAACACTGGATTCAACACTGCCAAGATCGTTTTGAGGAAGCAGTGGATGCCTGAACTGGATTTAGTCGGATTTGAAGGGACGACTTCTTGTGTGGTAAGTCCGTTCTTCTTTGTTTTATAGACAAGATGGTTTCTAATATCGATGATTTTGAAAAAGATTAGTTTTAGCGTGGATCTGCTCGTTGCTCGTATATAGACATGGATGGGAAGACAGTAGTTGGTTCGTTGGTTGCAGTTGGATCTTCCGATCGATCAGTTAGCGTCTGGATGTTGCCCATATATCAACGTCCTATTTGTGTGATCCAGGAGATTCTCCCAGAAGAAATCTTGGACCTTTCTTGGAATGACGAAAAACTTATTGTTTGCGGAATCAACGGTTCAATAAGATGCTTGGTATTTGAAGAGTCAGAAACTGGCAGGTTCCTCAGTGATAGAGAAATGGTAAGCATTGGGCGTTATTTGTAACATAGTTATTTTAGGCATTACAATACAGCAAGACGTTTTCCTATATCCCCTCGATCTACAGATCGTCTCATGAAGATGCAGAGAATTATAATATCACATTACCATCTGATGTGAAAGATATTTGGGAGCAATTTGAGGATGTAACAGGTAAATTTTTCCGAGTTTCTTTTGAAAAAAAGGATGAATTTTATCTAAAGTAAGGTATATTAGACGAAATGGTTGAAAGGTCAAAGGAGTGTACCCTGCATCTACTCCCCCACAATCTCACACGTTCCTGTCAACAATGTTTGGCCACAATCAAAACAAAGAGAGAGCGATTCCCATCTCCGGAAGTCGAAGTTATTGGAAATTAGGCCGGAATTTGATTTGTAATCTCACTCATCTTCGAATCCGGTGACCTCATTTTTGTTCGTTTCTCCATTTTCACCTCATTCTTTGGCTTTCTATCGAGGATTGGTCGATGTTTGGCGGAAACTACGAAGCCGTGGGTAATCCCCAAAATCTCGATGACTTCTATGCCCCGCCCCCACCTGCTCCTCTTCCTCCGGCAGCCCCTCCATCCTCCCAAGCTCCTTCCACGGAACCTCACGCAGAAACCTTTGCTTCAACTACTTCTAATTCCGGAGGTGTTGTTCAACGGAAGAAGTCTCAAGTTGATCTAACTTCAAAGAGTAATTCCATTGACCAGAGGAAGGAAGGGAAAGGGGGAAGCGACGAAGAAATCCTCGGAAATCGTAAGTCATTGGGCCGTGTTTATGGAATTGCTGGAACAAATAACTTGTTCGTTGTCCCATTTTTAGCCGTATTTCGGTACAAATTGGCCCTCCGAACTTGTTATGCCTTGTGGATCTCAATTCTGGTCACCAGTCTCATCTCTTTTGCTATCGCCATTCTTCTTTTCTTTGCCTTATAATCTCAAATTCATTATTATTTGATTGTCTGATGTATTTTTCTGTTATAACAAATAAAAATGAAAGACGATTTGATTGAAAGAGGCTAATGATAATGAATTATGATATCTTTTAGAGGTTTTCTAGTATCTTCTTCTGTGATCATATTGAACAGGTCCCCTGTTGATCGAGTCGATCGATTCGAAAGTAATTGTGGATTGATTATCCCCCTCCAATTCGTATAGCCTTAACTCATCATAAGGCCCACTGTTTGGGTCTCTATCCAATTGATCAGCATAGGGATCTCCTGAAAGTGATTGAAATAGAATAATGGGCATACCGGGAGCTCTGAATTGACGTGGTGGCACCGGTTCTGGAGGTCGCCTTAGATTATCAAGGTTATACTTGGAGTTGTCCGTCTCTCCACATTCCAAGTTATCATTCTTCAAGATTCCCGTGTCCTCGCTCTCCAACCGAAGATCCTCGACTATTATGGGGTCGGGTGTTGAGAAACAGTAACAAATAGAAAGTAGGCACAGTAATAACAGTAGAATCAAGCAAAGTATTATGAATATGAGGGCAATCAGAGTGATGGTTAAGCGTCCTTCCGCATAGCAATGTGAGAGAGTCCCATCATCTCGAATGAAGGCTGTGTTTCCCTCAGGGCACACACAAATGGGACCTTTCCAATGATCGTGACAGACTTGGCCCTCAGGGCAATATCCCGACGCTAGAGATCGACATGTCATCAGGATGTCACAACCGGGCTTCGTATCTCTTTGTTGGATACTTTGACCACTTTTGGGAGTTCGATTATCATCCTCGCCAGCCTCTCTTATCATAAAATGATCGTCATTGTAGTGAAGGAAGCGGATACATCCAGCAAAACTTTTGGAGCCATTTCCGATGGTCAGTGAACTAATTGGTTCCAAGGCTCCCCCGTTTTTGACTTTAGACGTATGGGACTTCCCATCGATGGAGAGGGAGGTTATGTAATGTTCTCGATGGAAATGGAGGAGATAGGGAATTTTTGGAAGAAGTTGGAGGGCAGAATGGATTGGAGAAGAATCATTTATTATCTTGGCTCCGGGAAATCCATTGGAAAGAGTGATGGAAGATATCTCCTAAAGAATAATCTAGGATGCTTATGGACCACTTACATTTTCATCATTGCCTAGACTTCCAATTGTTCCAGTTGGATAGGCATCATTTGTAATCATCAAGGTCTTTACATCCTGTTGTTGCCAATCTTTCACATGAAATTTGGCAAAAGCCTGAGGTTTTGTAAACTGGGTCCAAGGTGAACGCTGATCGCATTTCTCTCCAAACCACCCAATTGAACACTTGCAGGCCTCTGTATTTGCATTAACCCGATAGCACTGTCCATTTATGCATTTAGTTTGATCACAATCACAGTTACTGGATGTTTCGACCTGTACTTCAGGAGATTGGAGATCATATTGCTCCCCATTCACTTTCAAATCCATTATACACCCTTTGAAGCCCGCTTTTACTTCCAAATTTGGATAATCATCTTCATTATTCGCCCTGTAGAGCCCTCCAATTTGAAGCGGAGTATTTACATTTAGTCTTTCGTCATCGTCACTGTCCTGGTAGTCATAACAGACCTTTCGATTTCCTCTACAGTAATCCAAGATGGCTTCAAGTCTCTTTTTGTTTTGAATTATTTGAATATTATGAATTTTGCCGTCAGTTACTTTTGAAGAAAGTTTGAGAGCAACTTCTCTATGGCCATTCAGTTGCTTTATCCTCAGCTCTCCCTTTTCAATCGCTACGTATATATAATCGCCGTATATGATTCGATTCTCCTCGTATGACGAGTCGAGAGTATACGGCCCATTGTATAAGATTACACCATCGTCTTTGCTAACATTGAATAAGATTATTACAACATAGTCATCATATATTATATAAAAAAATAAAAACTTACGTTCTAAAAGACAACGATATATTCAAATGAATGCAGGCGGGTAAAGTCTTCATCCAAACGAATCCCGTGCCATTAAAAGATCTTGTAGATCCCTGGCATCTTTCTCCCGGCAGGTCTCCTTTACAATAACACAGAGCTCCAGGATGATGGTAATTGTAACAGATCCCCCCATTGTGGCAATAACCATACGAGCAACCATCGAAAGTCGATGGAATTGGGCATTGACACACATCTTCGGAGGTGGAATTGACTCCAACAAGGACGGTGGAATTGGCGGAGATTACGATCCCTACCTAAAAGGAACAAGATTTTATGTTTTACAATGTGAAGTGACCCCACGGTCTTAGCAAAATGCATTTCAAGCAAAACTTTACTCTGTAACTCACTTCATTCGCATGATGTTTGGTCTGACAGCCATTATCGCATCGCGTAAATTTGCATAAATCTATTCCGACGGCTTGAATATTCCCATCCAAAGCCACCTCAAACTCTTTCCAATGTGCTCCAATTATCCCTTCGACCATTGACTTTGACAAATATCGACCATCAGCATTTACAGTAAACCTCAGATCGTATGTTCCTTCAAATTCCGACCTTTGAAGCGAGAAAACATCAATCTGGATGTTCTCCTTGCCAAGATTCTTGAGTTTTTCGTCCAATTTCTGAAGAAAGTTCTCCCTTGGCCCTTGCAAAAAGTATCCAGGATTCTCATTGTATTTGTGGCTGTCTCCAGAGATTCTGATTCCCGCTTGATGATCAAATGCGACTTTGGAAATGGGATAAACTTTGACTGTAACGAAGCTTTGAGCATGGTCATTGTCTCGAGAATTGTCTGTGACATCGACCGTAAAAGTGTACAGACCGGGGAGAGTAGTGGAGAGCATGTTAATCTAAAATGAGATTATAAATAATGATGGAAGCATCTGCTATTGATATCAACTTAGAACGAACTCTTCCGGTATCTTTTTCAACAGTAAAGAATTCGTGTTCGGCCTGCATCTCGAAGGTTTTATTGTTGATGTCCCAATCATCTTCATCCTGAACATAGACAGTGCCGATATATTGATCCTTGGTGAAGTTTTCGTACAGGTATACTTCAATAGTCATGTTTGCATTACTCATTGGGTTGTCATTCTAAAAATAAAAAAAAATTAGTTTACACAATGAAATTCCAATTACTGTAACTTGTTCTTACCTTGTCCCCCACAATGACCTCGACTGTTCTAATTGCCGTTTTTCCTCCCACATCCGACACTTCGATCGGTATTTTAAACACTTTTTTCTTTTCTCTGTCAAGTGTTTTCAATGGTTTTATTGTCATCCCACCATTCCCTCCATCCAATGTTTCATCAAAACTGATCTCCAATTGCTCAAGCTCCTTAAATTTTCCAGCCACGGTCATATTGAATGGGGGTCCATATATGTTGGTGTCCGGATCACTTCCTCTGACTTCACAGGGTAGAATTTCATCTGGATCTGTATTTTCCATAAAAATACAGGGTCCAAGGAAGGTCTGGTTTGACGGTTGGAAGATATAGAGATTGGGTGCGTTGTCATTCACGTCATTCACAGTCACGTCCACGTATAAATCATCGTTGCTTTTATCTGAAATTTTATTTTGAGCGCCTGAAATAAATATTACTTGATTCGGCCGCTTCAATCCTCAATTCGTACTTGGGAATCTCTTCTCGATCTAAAGATCCGGCAAGACTTAACGTCCCGTTCTCATCGATTGTGAATTGACGTTTGGGATCGGATCGGCGGTCTATTCGGTAACTAAAGCAAAATTATAACAAAATGTGGAAAAAATATAAGCACAGGTCAAACTGAATGAAAAGCTTACTCAACATCGTTAACAATACCCATTCGGTCATCCGCTTTTAATTGCAACACCAATTTTCCAATTTTGGCGGCCTCGCTGATATTCCTCAGAACCCTTATCATCAAATCTCGTTCTTTCCGACTAACTTGTGTAAAGGATTGACTTGACATTGATATCTTTTGGGAAGATACGTAATCAACGTAGAAAAGTAACATAACCACAACAACCTTGACCCTCAGAGAGCTTGATGTCCTCGGTTTTGCCCACATACTTTGCTGATACGATAAGAACTCAATCCTGCTCAGAGAAGAAACACGCCTTAACTCCTCCACATAACGGTTACCAAAATAGGAAGCGAAGGAAGAATGGTCATTTCTTGGAACAAAAAGGCCCTTGGCTATTTCTGAGGATCACTCATTGCCTCGCGGTGCTTGATTCACCGCTTCTGCCACTCATATTTCTTTCCTCTCGCCTTCAATTTCATACAAGTTCCGTCCGTTGCCTACTCAACCTTATATAACGGTGTATAGTCGGGTGAATTCGAATAATTATGTTGTAATGACACAGAGACTATTACATCGAACGACGGAGCTAAGGATATTTTAAAGGACATAACCAGAAAGACGGTCAATGCGAGTTATGACAACTAATTGCGAGTTATGACAACAATCCTTTTGGGGCAACTCTCGGAAACTTCAAAAGTTTTCACCTGGTGGGTATAATTATGTTAAAATCAGAAACTTTTTGATCGAAGGAGCGGCCAAAAAGACCTTGTCGTTAAAGCCCGGTCATAAATTTATGATCAAGAATTTTAGAAGAATTTTACATTTTATGGAAACTAATTGTATAATCAAGAGACAGCCCTTAGCACACTAAATCATTATTCTAATAAAATACGTAATAATCTGGAGGATCAATTAGGCATAGTCCTGGTCACGGAGAGAAGGGAGATGATATTGGCTGAAGGCCGCGTCCGTCGACTTTTCGGTCTTCTGGCTGTAATCTTGGACATCTTCGACGGACTGGACTGGCTCGGCAACGGCTTGGGAAGCGAATTTGGGATTGAAATCATAGTCAGCCGGTTTGGAATAGGCGTGAAACTCGGTGTTGGGGATACCGTAGTACAAAGACTCCTGAAATAATTTTTATTCAATATACGGGCTTTATTCAATCTCAAAAAATCGATTCGAACTCACAGCATCACCGTAGTTTCCGTATCCCTTTTGGCACAACTCTTGCTCCACCTTCTGATTGGTCTCCTCGAATTTGTAATGACTCTCCACATCACCAACTGACTTGACACTCAAATTCTCGATGCTTGGCTGGAATCCGACCTTCTTTCCTTTGTTTGGCACCGAACCGCGACGAATCCCGAGCTCAGCCAAACGCTGCTGGATCTCCTCGTAGTGCTGACGAATGGATTCGGCTTCGGCTTCCAAGCGCTGTTGCTCTTGGATGTAAGCCGAGTCGTCGGCCTTTGGAGTGACGACATCTTCTTCGGACGCGACAGTGAAGGCATCACGATCGCCAAATGCGGCATCAGCATACATGGAGTAGACGAAACCATCCTTGCTTTGGAATGGAGCGGCCTTGGGAGTGGGCAGAGGGGCCTTGCGGGGCAGAGCGGCCTTCACTGCCTTCTTCGGGGCCTAAAATATAATATTATGTAAATTTAAGTCATCTTACCACATCACCAGCAACGTTAATCTTGTCCACCTTCTCGGTGGACAAAGTGGGCTCGGTGATCTCATCATCCTCACTATTCAAATCTCGACTGACTGCAAGTTGAGGAACGTAGGTGGACTTGGCCAACAGACGACCACCCGAAGTCGGGACATACGAACCATAGGCACCACAGTAGGAACTCATCTCGGCCAACCAATCCACGGGAGGAAACAAACGCAAAGTGAGCGACTGCATGGCTTTTATAGTCGAATATGTAAAATGAAATTTGAATAAAAAAATATTGGAAATTGTGCTTATAGTAATTACAGTAATCTTTATTTTGGCACTACAAAAATGTTACTATAATATTTTTTGGAAAAACATTTTACCAGTTCTAAGGGTTCAATTATGACAAATAAAATAATTAAAATTAAGCAACAAACAATTGACGAGCCCTCCGTTTTAGGGATTCCGATGAAGATTGAGGAGAACAGAACTGATTGGTCGAGAGATCGGCGGATGAGATTGATTTGACACCTAAAATAAATAAAGTTAGTTGGGTAGCACAAATATGTTAATGAAATATACAGATGCACTTACAGTCGGCTTTCTGATGTAATTTAAAGTGTCTGAATTCATTTTCCTCCTTTTTCAACAATAAAATTTTCTTTTCCATCGATGGTTTGCCAAAACAATCCGTATAAATCTTGTTTGAATACTTGTTTTTAACAGATCTTTTGTCATCCTTGATCCAAACTCCTTCTTCCTTATCATAACGAAGGAACTGGAATAAATAATTAGGCACTACGACATCATTTCCCAAAATAATTACTATAGAAAATCTGCATGATGACTTACATCTCCATTATCGCAATCAGTAATCAAGTAATCGCTAAGGATAGTAAAATGAGGACAGAAGTTCCATTCCCTGAGCTTATTCCATTCATATTCAACCACAGGGAAGTCTTTGCAATGATGCGATTTTAATAGTAATTTCCGTTTCATGTCATGGATTTCGATTACATTTTCTGAAAGACAAAAAATTTCTGTACATATATTAGAGATTGGAACTTGAATTTTCAGAACCTTGAGACCGTCCCTTGTTAAATAAATTGTAATATAATATGATGCTTACGATTCCTGCTGATCAAAGTATGGGATTCCGGAAGAATAATAAAGTGGTTCTTGTCAAATTTATAAGTTGTCAGATCACACAAAAAGTTCTTAATCAACATCCTCCCTCCTGTTGTTGTATTTACAACTCGGATTCCATGCTTTTCCCGGAAAACAAAGTAATGATCTTGTTCCCCGTATTCGCATTTCATAGCATAGGCTGTATTCGAATATAAATGGTAAGTTTGTTGATTGCAACCATCAAAAAGAGTCTTTGTATTGTTATTATAGACTGATCCATTGTCAATCAGGAGGTCATCTGTTGCATTATACGTTAATGAGGATACAATTTGCTTGGAAATGATGCTGTAAATCACCATTTCTCTGGTTCGATCTGTTTCGAGCCACTGAAATTAATCAAATTACGGTCACAAGCTCATAGATGACACGGATATATCGTTGTTATTATAATACATTAACTTACATAAGATAACATCCTTCCATTGTCGAACAGAGATAGATGGGAAATATTTGAATCGACTTTTATTCTATCCACCGTATCTTCTTGCAAATCCATGGACGAAACGACGATCGAACTGCTGGTGGCATCATGATAAGCAAACATGTAACCGCACAAAGCAATGTTTGAAGTTGAATTTATATGCTTATAAGGCTCGAGATGACGACCGTTGGCGCTAAAAACAAATGTCCTCAATTCTGAGCTTTCAGCAACTGTGTGATAGGACAAAATGTCTCAGAATTTTAGCTGTCCCCGGTCGTAAAAAGCAAGGAAAAATGCAGAGAGCCGATATTAGCCTTACCGCGAAAAGGCTTCTGCCCAAGATTCGTTGGGAAGTCTATAGATACGATGGTGGACACATAACAACTTGAAGTCAGTACCAATCAACCTATTGAAGAAACTGTGAGTGGCTGCCAGATTGGTCAGGGTTTCCCCATCATCGACCAAGTCCACAATCTGCCTCCACACCTAAAAAAATGTAATGTCATCAAGATGATTTGTAGGTTATCAAGAGATATTGTACCGTATTTTACTTACATCCAAATTCATAATCCATTTCTGATCCATTTGTGACCCAATTAACGATGAACGCTGGAATGAGAAAGAGTAGTCTCTCCCGCCTCAACTCTTATCAGATGTGGTCAGCTGTCCGAGATGTTCGTCGCCCAACTTTTGAAAATCGTCTTGTCATAGCTGATTGTGTTTGTGAAATTCTCTTGAATTCGTGAGGCTTATCAAATTGTGTGTGATGCTTTGACTCTGAACTTTGTTTTGTTATAATAATATTTACAATTCAAGCCGTGATAGGCATGGAAAGTGATGGTGAAATAAGTGGCTATCGCTGGAAATCAACTATTTTCATCAAAAAATATATATGTTCCTTGTAAATACAATATCAACAAACATCCTTCGTAAATAAAACCCAAGCACTTCACGTGTTTTTCAGAGGAGATGTAGACTCCAATGTCCCCAGGCTGCTATCAGCAGCAAAGTACGAGAAACGTTTATGCACAGTTTGTTACAATCTGAGTACACCACCAAACTGAATCTATTTCAATCTGAGACTGTGAAGAATGCAGGAGTTTAGCATGTTGAGGTCATTTTGAAAAATTCTGTGAAATTAAAAACCTTAAATTGAAATATGCAATAAATAATGATAATAAAGGTGATCTTGGGAGAATAAGAAAAAAGTTGGCTTGCCCGGCGAGTACCCACTGCACGTCAGTTTTTTTTACTACTGAGTCAGTTGAAATCATCGATGAAAATTAGTACGCAAAATTGTACCCCCAAGATGACCTAGCTTCTCTACTCAAGTGAATATTTTTACTCTCAACTTTATTCATCGCTTGACTCCACTTTTATTTTAATTATTTTATAATTTGCATAATCCATCAATGTGACATCCAGAGCTCCAATAAATTCATTCTGCCAACCGGGCTCACAGAGACGCAGTTGAATCTTTTTTGTCATCTCGATATGTGGACTGGAAAGAAATCCGTACGGCGGAGATCGTCCAATAAACGAGCTCCATCCCCAGGAAACAAGGAACCAGGAACAAGTAAGGAACGAAGTCTCAGCAAGGAAACCAACAAATCGCCCAGTTCATTAAAGTTTAAGCTTCGATTAGGAAAAGGGTAAATTGCCTTGTATTACTTACATCATTTCCGCAGTCTAATTTTAGCCTACGGTAGCCATAACTTTATGTTTCAGAAGTCGCCGGAAAGCGAATCCCACAGATGTCACACAAGAAAAACCAGAAAAGACCCAAGACAAGCAGCCAGACAAGACACAAGACAAGCAGCCAGATAAGACACAAGACAGGCCACAAGAAGAGACGATGGAAGAGACAAAAGAAACCAAAGAGACGAAGGAAGCAAAAGAAGCAAAAGAAACAAAGGAAGCAGATGAGACCAAGGATGTCAAGACAATTCGCGGAGTCGACCTTTCCAGATACAACAAGCTGCTGCAGGAAGAACAGGCAAAAATTGCGGACAAGGAGTATTATCATGGGCTGATGCCTCGGGAAGAGGTGGAAGATATGGTGCAGGGAGAAGGAGAGTACCTGGTTCGTCTAACGGACACCGACAAGGGGACTCTGCATCGCCTCGTCATCACGGCAAGAGGAAACAATAAGGTCAAGCATATCATCCTCAACCTGAACAAGGAGGATGCATGGTACGCTAGCAATGACAGATCTTTCGATTCTGTAGACCGATTAGTCACATATTATACGGTAAACAAACTGTTTCTTGACCGTAATAATAACTTTGTAGAAAAATGCGCTACATGTCGAAAACATAAGGTTGCTTCACGTCGTCAAAAGGCCCGAATGGTAAGACCAATTCCTAACATCCCACTGCTCCATCCAGGTATCTGCTACATGAGAACGTCAAGCTGAAGAAAACCTTGGGTTCCGGAGCATTTGGAGAAGTCTGCTTGGGAGAGTTGATGGTAAAGGGGAAGAAGATCGAAGTGGCAGTGAAAAAACTCAAAGGGCAGAAGCTGGGAAAGGCGGAGAGGGCTCAATTCCTGAAGGAAGCCTCGCTGAACAGAGTTTTCAAACATCCGAATGTCGTCGCTTTGCTGGGCGTCGCCTCTCAGAAAGAGCCCATCATGGTGGTCCTCGAATTCTGTCCTGGAGGTCAACTCAAGAGTCATGTGGCCAAGAAAACGGATTTAAAAGTTATGCAACTCACAAAGTAAGTCAAAGGAATAATAAAATTATGATTAGATACCTGCTGGATGCCGCCCAAGGAATGGAATACTTGTCGGATTTGAATGTGATTCATCGAGATCTTGCCGCACGAAACTGCCTTCTGAATGGGGATTACGTTTGCAAAATCTCCGACTTTGGACTTTCTTGCACCACGAACGAAGCCAAGGAGAAAAAGTAAGATAATTCAAGTTCCAAAGAGAAAAAGTAGAAAAATTCATGTTCTAAACAGCCATCTTCAGGAAACAACGAATGCCCGTGCGTTGGCTGGCCCCGGAAGTCTTCCGAGTTTACGAGTTCACTGCAAAAACAGATGTCTGGTCCTACGGAATTATGATGTGGGAGGTCTACTCCAGATGTCAAACAGATCCCTACCCTAATATGCAGAATGCGGAGGTCAAGAAGATGATCCTCGAGGATGACAAAAGGATGGATATCCCCCCAGAAACACCACCCGAATCTGCTGAAATCATGAAGGAGTGCTGGGCTACGGCTCCCGAGCAACGTCCAACCTTCCGCGCCATTGTCCTCGGACTGAGACGTGCTTTCCCCGATTTATACTGATATTCCTCATGCGCGTTTATTGTAAAACCAAATAAATTTCAACCCTAAATTGTTGGAGCAACTCCGTTTCGGAGCTGTCCTTCATTCGCGGCAGATTTCATCTGGGACAAAATCAGGTATCGGCCCAAATTTTATTTCTGGCCCTTTCATTTCTTGAGATAACAAGTGTTAAAATACTTTTTGCGCACGCTATACACTCAAAAAGCAGATTCAATCGAATTTATTTGAAACTAGCAATAAGTTATCGTTAAAAATGCCAACAAATTGTAACAACAATCAATTCTTATATTTGTGCCAATGTAATAGAGACCTTCTGGCAGACAGATCCCAACAAATGTTGGATCAGAAGATCGGAGCATGTAATGTGCATGGTATTCGTATCTATTGTTGCTTCCTTCCCATCCACGACTACTTTTAAGACGTCGTTATCCTGTTCAATCTCGACATCCCCACAGATCTCTCGGATTGTCGCTTTGAAGGCATCGATTCGATTTTGAGAAGCCAATGGTTGATTTAACTTGTGTTCAACCGGCTCTTTGATGTCTTTTTCGGCTTTCACAGACTTGACGAGATCCTTGATTTGCTTGGGAATATCTGGAATGAACTATTGGCAAAAGATTCCATCAAATATAATGTAATCAAATTCCTTACGTTTCAATGGGATTTGATTTGTCTGGGCATGCAAAATAGCCGACATAATAGCGTCTGAATACATGTCGGAAACCGGGGTTGATACCCATTCCAGAAGAATTACTCGATGTTTTTCATAATATTTTATGTCGATCTTGTCCTAAAACAATGTCAATTTCCCTAACAATTATGGTTCGCAACTTACATCAAACATTTTGATAATATAGTCCGGTTCTTCCTTCTTCGAATCCATCTTCGGCATTGCATGTATAGTGTACTTTTCGGTCAACTGTCCCAGATTATACATCAGCTGAGGCAGTCTTCCATCGTAATATAAGCTCTTCCTCTCACTCACTGTAGATGTCGACAGTTCTGTATACACGCTGAGATCACTTGGCATCAACAGATGGAAATTGTAGTTTCTTTTTAGCAGGATTCCACTGATAATATTGTTATCCAAGGCCGGTTCTTGCGCCAACTGTCCCACAACTTTGGCCGTTTTCTGTCCTCGGAAATACAAATTAACCGTCTCGGTATTGCGAGGATTATGCACTTCGATTTTGTATTCTGGGTCGTCTTCGTAGGTTCGAGTGATGGCTGCTTTCAATCGATTCATCTCATTCATTTCGCCATGGACAAGGATCTAAAATCACATAAAACATATTGTTCTCATAACTTTTATCCCAGAAATGAACTTACCAAATGAGCAGGCCTCAATTCGTCGATGAATTTACTTGTCTGACTGTAATCAGCATGAGCCGAAAAACTGAAATATCCGACTTGAAGCCTCATTGGGAGTTTATGGCCCGCCAAAGCAACAATCTCCTCGGGCTCCGAGAGAATGTGCTTGGCCAAGGTTCCCTCCACACAATAGCCAGCAATAATGCACCCATTCTTCGAATCAGTACACCAGGCTTCGAACAATTCTCGACTTAACCCATTTTGAAGCATTCCTGGACTGGCCAAGACAACACAAGGGCCAACGTCATCGAAATGATCAATTGTCTGAAGTCGAAATTAATTCTCAACATAGTCAAAATAAATTGAAAACATCTTGCAAATAAGATTACTGCTTACTTTTAAGTTAAGAATGTGCTTGAAAACAAACGGATTTCCCATGGCCATCTGATTCTTCACATTTTGATTCATTCCACTCACAAAAGTCTGATATACTGCCATGCATTTCTTCGCCAGGGAACTCGCATCTAAAAACACATGTAAAAAAATTAAATTATAAAACAAAATAAAAATTGAAACAGTAAGTACTACAACATAATAAAACCGAGAAAACTCGTAGAAACACTTACAGTACACCGGAATGTCGTGTAATTCCGGATGTGACTCCCAATATTCGTCCAAAATTAACATTAATTCTTGCGCCCTTCCCAAGGCAAAGACCGGAATCAGACATCTTCCACCTCTGGCAACAATCTCATGAATCATGGTGATAAACCTCCTTTCCCTCTCCTCTCTGCCTTCGTGAATTTGAGTGCCACAAGTAGATTCACAGACGAGAATATCCGGAGTCATGGCTGGAACTTCGGCCGCACATAAATGTCGGTCCTCGAGGATACTGTAGTCTCCAGTGTATAAGACCTTGATCCCCGCAATCTCAATCATAAACATTGCAGCTCCAAGGACATGGCCAGCAACATAAGGCCAGAATCTAATCCCATTTACTTCCTTTTGTTCGTGGAAATCGATCACTTCGATCTTTTCCATACTTCGTTCGAGATCTTGTTCGGAAAAAATGGCCTTATCATGACTGGTTCCATATTTGGACATCTTGATGTAGTCACCGAGGATCATTCTGTAGATCCCTTTTGTTGCATGCGTCATAAAACATCGACCACGGAAGCCTGTTTTGTTCAGAAACCAAGGCAAAGCGCCACAATGGTCAAGATGGAAATGTGTGATCAGAATTAAGTCCAAGGATTCTGCATCAATTAAATCAACAAATGGAAGAGCCGCAAAATCGTGCATTCCAGGATGAATTCCACAGTCCAGCTGAAATCGGCGACATTATATTGCAAATCAACGTCTGTTTATATTACACATCCTTCTTCCTAAATTTAAGAAAAATATAGAAACTCGCTTACCATGATTCTTTTTCCTTTGAAGCTCAGATAATGGCATGAACGGCCCACTTCTTGCCCAGAACCACTAAAATTATATTAATTATTCATGTCCGTTCAGAACAAACTTACAGAGGCATAAAGGATAAGATGTCCGAGTTTTCTGGGTCATTCTGATCGTCCATGATACCCAATCGTCGGAACTACGAACAGAAGAAGAGCAATTTCTTCAGTGATGTTCGAAGAAAATAATTTTCTGGCGGTTTTTTGGTTTTTTTGGTGAGACATTATGCCAAAAGGAGCCAAATGCGCGCAGGAATCGCATTTTAAATAATTTAAACTTTTTGCGCGAAAAATTAAGGAGATTTTCATAGCCAAAGCCAAAAAAAAAACTCGTAAATTTATTTATTTTCAGTTATTAGTGCCGGAATATTTGGACCTTCGACATATGATTCATTTCTGTTTTCCTTAATTTTCATGTTATTCCATTAACGCCCCGAGGGCGCCGGATTTGTGGCAGCTGGGAAAGTAAGTCGCGCTCCCGCTAAATGTTTGGAAGCCAAATCCTCAAGACGAAAAATGTGCGCGTGCGTTATAATTGAAGGAGATTTTTGGTTACCTGGAAACCGGCAGAACGGTCGATTTGAGGCGCGCGCCGACTTCGCACTACCCGCTAGGCCCTGCAAGAAAAAATTGGGCCGAAGAGAGTTTCTCGCGGCCTGAAGTCCACTTTCCTCTGGCCATTGTTTTGTTTTGGAATGTCCGAACGGAATGCGAAAAGTGGACGGTAGAAGTTTGGAGGTCAAAGGTCGGTTTATAATTGCCCCGAGGGGAAGAAGCGATAAATGGGGCTTTGTTCTATGTTAATAAGGGATAATGAGTAATTAGCAAGTTTGATATCGCCAAAGAACTCTTTTTATATTCTCCATTGCAGGCTCTGGTTATGTTCCCCCTCCCAACCCAGGCCAACGTCGAGGTCCCTTTGTGATGCCGTCGCAGAAACGAAACGTCAGCGCCACCAAGATTGCCATGGTTCCATCATCTACAACGCAACAGGAGAGTCGCTCCACCAGGGTCCATTCAAAGTTTGGGTCCACTCAAAGCATCACTGCAAGCACTACTCAGTAAGTTGCTTAAAAGTTGTAATAACTTTGCTCGTTCCAGAGTTTGCAACTGTCAACATCCTGCTGATCTCAACTTCCTGCAGGATATTTACGTAGAGAATTTGAGGATAAAAAATGAAATGTTGGAATTACAAAACAAGTACTTGTAAGTTAATATAATTAGCAATGAATAATCGCATTATTTGGCGTTTATATTACTCATCATTTTAGACAAAACCTCGGGAATGATGGAGAGCCTGGAACTACAGCAGCATCAGCAACAATAAGGGGGCATCGAGAGGAAAGAGACTCGGGAATCGGAGGGGTCTCTGGGTCAAGTACAACATATCAGCAACGATCTAGAAGGGTTAACTTCACTGATAAAGCCTTCAAGGAAGAGGATTTGTATAATCAGCTCGAAGAAGCTTACAAAGTAACATCACTTTGTTAACTTGAATACTTTCATATTGTAATGGCTGAGTAGATAACTTTTTATATTTTCAGACGGAAGGGAGATTGCAGGAGAAAGTGAAGGCGTTACAGCATGAGAACAGGAAGGTAACGGCGCAAAGGGACGAGGCCATTGAGAGATTGGCCGGATTCGAAGGAGGATCTAGTAAGCGTTGTATTACTTTTGACAGAATTGATCCATCTTTGATAACAATGAAAGCTTGTCATCATCGTAAGTTTCAGAATCGTTTACAAAAGAACGTAAGACCTTGATGGAAGATAATATCGAGTTACAACGTCGACTGGATGATCTGACTCCCTTACTCGCTGAAAAAGACGCTGAAATCTCGAGATTGGAGTCAGAAAAGATGGCCTTAACCAAACGGATACGACAAATGACAGCATCAACTGCATCAAGACAAACATCGACAGAGAAGAGAGACTACAATGGAAGTGGAGAGTTTAGAGAAACAAAGAAATGGAGAGAAAGAGTAAACGAATTGGAAATCGAGTTGAATGAAGAGCGGAAAAAGATCATCGAGAAGTCGGTAAGAGTTGAAAACAATATTTAGAAGATGTTTTTGGGAATTACGAATACAGTAAGCATTTCCAGGATGAACTGACAGCTCTGCGTCAACGCTTTAAAGAGCTACAAGTCACGTTGAAAAGTGAGAAATCGATGAAAGAAAGCGTCAACGAAGAGAACATCAAGTTGATCAAGGACAACTCAAATCTCACTAGTCGAATTTCGCGCCTAGAACAACTGGTTGATCAACAAAAACGGGAACTAAACGCTCGGCCTCATGTAGATATAACTTCAGAAGATTTGAGACAACTTAGAGATGATTTTAAGAGAGTTCAAGGAGAATTGGCAGGTGCTAAGGAAAGGATAAGAATCGAGGAAGGGGTGAGAACAAAGTTGGAGAACGAATTGAAGGAAAGGGAACAGACAGAAGACGAGGAACAGGAGAAGAGGGTCCAGATTCAGGAGGAACTGGCTGCTTTGAAGGTCATGTCCAATGCTTTGTCAGCTGAAAATCAGGGACTAAGAGAGGAGAAGATCTCATTGACGGAGAGAATCGAAGTGCTCTATGAAAAGGTAAGTGAGGATGGGTTTGGATTATAATTTGTGTCCTGATGTCTAGTATAACATTATTTTATTTTTTAGATCGATCAAAGTTCTCAAGAAATTGAATGGCTGGCCAAGAAATTGGAACAATTCCGAACGCAATATTTTGACACTTTGGCTAGGTTGCAAGCGGAATTAAAACGGCAATCAGAAGCGTAAGTGATCAATATTGTCTGGGTCATAAACTCTTTGGATACTTTCAGTGGATCCGAACTGGAAGACATTGTGCGTCGAGCCCAAGAACTCGTTGTTGCTTTTCCCAAGACAAAATCGACTAAGATTACAATCCATCAACAGAAATCATCGACTCAAGTTATCCATCAACCTCCAGCTCCGATTCCCCGATCTTCCTCCAGGGTTGTGGGGTCTCCAGAAGGCCCGGATTCTGGTCGTCCTCCACTCAGTCCAGTCCGTGTGAGTCCGAGTCCAAGACCGACCAATATTGACTCGGGGCCGAGGATTCAACGGACTTCTTCTGTGATGACATCATCTTCCAGATCCAACAGATCTCTTGTAACTTTGAGATCTCAATCACAAACTCAGGATAGTGAGTCTACGGCGTCTTTGTTGGCGCAGAAATATCGCCGGAAAATGTCGTAGATTATTGTTATCAGACTTTTTTGTTCAAGTGTAATATAAGTTAAGCAAGTTATTTTATGTCTGTTTCCTATTGTTAATTTGAGATTTCCAAGAGACCTATCACTGCCTATTATAAAATAATATCATCTCTTGTCCCTGTAAATGATTTGGCTTCGTTTTCGGAAGATAAATAAATCGAATTTTATTGGTGTCAGATGAAGTTGTAAACAGGGCAGGTTCCTCGAATCCTCGCTTAATTAATTTACTCATTATTGTCAAAACATATTTTAATTACTTTTAATCCGCCCAATTAACAATATTCTAATTAATCGAAAATCTTTTCGAAAAACATCCCCTCAGGCCATGTGAGTGTGAGATCTAATCGGATTAATTACCGTATGCAAATGACGATCGTTCCAAATCCAATCAACTAATCCTTGACGCCGACGATGGGGAGGGATGACTGTCTTGTGACAATGAAAGGTCACTAATTAATCGACGCTAATTGGTAAATAAACCGGGATTAAGCCAGGGCCACTAATTAATGGGCATCCGAACACATTCTGGAGCTGTTTTAATTGAATTTTGTTTATTTTTGATTATATCTGGGCAATTATGTAAAGTGTATGGAAAACTGATGTTTTTGAAGAGGTGGAGGAAATTTATAACTCTGTGGGGGTGAAGATACGCTTCCTGAAAGCATTTTTTTGTGTTTCTCAATCAAAAAAATTAAAATGTCATGGCAAAAACGATGTTAATCTTGAAGTTTTTCCCCGATACATCCTCCAGACCGTGATTTGTCTCGGCCTTAGTCATCTCTTTTATCGTTTGCACAAAAAGTCATGAGATTTTCCACGATTTCGGCCAGTATTATCCGCCGAATACCGTAAACGGGGCCGGGAAGTCGCTAAATCTCGGCTATTTTTATGTTCATACTCAAAACTTTTGCAGCTTATCCCTCCCAAAAATGGAAATCATGCACGGCGAAGAAAGGGAATGCCCGCAGGGCAAGATTAGACAGATCAGTCTGATCTCCAAGCCCTCAGGGGGCGACCACTAAGCCGGATGCGGGAGCGGCCCAACAATATTCTTATCCGGGTTATCTTTGGGGATTCCGGAGGCTATTTTGGAAGAGTACGGGGATCGTAGGACAGAAGAAAAATAACTAAGGGATCAAGGGGATAAATGGGGCCGTAAATGTAGACATCGATATACAGATTCATGTAGACGTGACGTCGATTTGGTTGTTGGAATTCTGGGATTGGCGGGAATGTTTGGGCTGTCTGGAAAGGATAAATGGCATGTGAGAAGAACGGGTGTTTGAGATGACGCATGGCCAAGGCTTGGACACAAGGAAATGAAAAGATCTTTGGAATTTACATTTTCGGCTATTTTGGAATGTTCTCTTATAAAAGTTTTGCAATCAGTAAAACAAGTTTCAATAGCGCGATTTCCGTAGTTTATGCTATAACGAATTTTTTCAAGCATGGCTCGGGCATCATTAAACATAACGCTCGAGGCTCAGCGCACATTATCGATGGGCCAAAGAGCACTCAATGATGAGCTTCAGAGTTTCAGATGTTTTTTGATACCTGAAGGCGTCTGAAGTATACTCTAAATTGTACTCTTAAGGTTTGATGAGTCAAGTCTTTCTCGGAATCCGATAGTTCCATCACGAGTCCAAAGAACATGTAATAGAAGCGGAGGAGTCCTTGACTTAATGTTTTTTCTGGCAGACGACCCTCAATTATCATTCTCTGAGTGATAACATCTCATTCTAGAGTCTGTTTGGTGTTAAATTTAGAATTCTTATCGCTCATCGCATATCCACCTGATTTCAGCGTGCATTTTAATTCTTTTTTATTTTTTGAACAACATGATTTCAAATTTTGAAAGTGGAATTTTGCAAAACAAAAGTGGCTGACAAATTCGGAAAAAGTTCCGCTCTCTCACGCTGTTTTGTTATGATTGCCATGTTTTTGATTACCGTGTCTTCTCTTCTCGGACTTTGTTCGATGTTCTGTCGGAGAAAAATGAACACTCAAACGGGTCACTGTAATTTAACAGCCCCCATTATTCTGTGGTCTTAGGCGGCTTCAAGTCTTACAAACTACGAAATAAAGTTGGGAAAACTCCCGGAAGATTAAGATCTCCTAAATTCCGGGGACGTGGAGGTCGGGATCAGAAGAGACGGAATAAAAGTGACGCAAGACTGGAGAGTATGACAATGGTCTTTAAACACAATTTCACTTCCGTGTCGTCTCTCTCGAACAACGTGAAGGCCATTGATTGTAATATGTATAGTAGGTCACGTATTTCAAACTTTTATTTTTTCGTTTAACTCTGAAATGCGCTGGGTTTTTGCAGTTACTTCTCGTCTAGACAGAGCATGAACAGAGTAGCACCGAGAATTCAGCTAACGTTAGAAAACCATATAGATAGCATCAAAAACACAAGGAGATCTTTGCTTTAGAACGGAAATCTTCAGAAAAATACTTGCGAATATTTTGACCCATTTTGCAGCTTCGACAAGATTTTTACCTTCAAAGATTGTCAAGAAAGGAGAACTGAGATTTCAGAGACTTTACATTTAAACGTACACTATTCCGGCTTCAAAATTCACCGCATTCCCTTGATATCTATGGGCTCCGACATCCCCAAACGTTTTTAGGGCCTTAAAATTCCTCGAAATGTAGATGACCTTCTAATTGGTGGTACAATGTTTTTGGCGGAACCATTTAATAATTTTATTATTTATTCAAATGAGGGGATAATCCCCTTCCTTCTCCCTTCCCCCGAATCCTAATTAATTATCACAAATGGCAATCTGTTTACCCGTCTTGTTTATCTCCCATTTCCCTTGTTTTCCCTACAATTTGACATTTGGCGGGGACTGTAAAACATCTTGTACACGACGTACGAGTGGCCTTTCCAGCCGGCTGCAAGGGTAAGCCCCCAAGACTCGGCCCAAAATACGACGGATGACGCGGATTTCACACGGGATTTTGGGGATAACGGGAGGATTTCGGAGGGATTCGAAGACACGTAACGGCATGCAGGTTGGATGATCAGCTTCCGAGTTTAGAGACTGCATCGATACGTATTTTGAGTGTAGGGAAAAATACGTCTTGACGGATTGCGGAGAAAACGGTAGGGGCTGCGTGATGAATTGCTTAGAACGATGAATTATTGCATCAAGAAGTCTGCAACAAAAGTTTGAATTTCGTCAACGACTAGTTGACGAAATTCAGCTTGCTGAGAAGGGAAATTATAAATGAACAGCTCGGAACATTATTAAATTTCTTAGTGCCGCCCTAAATGGGCCATAAATGACTTGACAAAAATCAGAGCCCGCGTTCTGTAGAAGCATCCAATGTATTCTATAATATTATAAAATTTTTGGAGAGACTACGGAACTGGGAATCCCTGCAAATCACGAGCCCATTTACCTTCGGAAATTATTACCCATAAGAGTTTCATCAAAATCTTACCCCCATACCTCAGTAATCAAGAATTGAGTATGAGTTGACACTCATATTTTAGTAATGGACAGTTATTTTGTATATCACCGAGAAATTAGATAATTTCCATCGCCTATTTATCCATATAGAGCTGATATAATTCAGTGTAATCGAAGCAAGTCAGAAACAAAATACAAAGTCTACCGCCTCCTTGTGTGCCGTATCATTGCATTCTTTACATCACGACCTTCCACTTTAATGTAATCGAATTTTAGACAATGTTTACTGCCCTGTGAATCGACTAATTCCTCGATTTCGTATGTTTCCGGAGGCATGTTTACCCAATAATTGGTTACAATTCAGATGCCCTGGCCTTGTTTTCTAATGCTTTGCAACATACGATTTCACGGGTTATGTGAAACGGACGGTTAATCTCCAGATTCGCGTCACAATTACATCGTTCCTCGGGGTCGGGCGATCCCCGTAAATCCCGTAATTCTAATCCAATTTGCGTTTGACGCAAGCCTTAAGACCTCAGGAGATCAGGCGCTTCTTCAATTAGCTTGTTTTTACTGTACACAGAATTGTCATCCTACCGTAAACTATATCCAAAACGTTTTATTATTTGCCATGTCTGAATGCGGGGGAATCTCGGACAATTTTCCGAGACATCCTGCACATGAGTCAGCCTGGCATTAGATGCCTTAGCTGCCCTAGATCCTCGGATTTGGAGACTGTATCTAAATTTAGACCAACAAAAGATGCGGAGGCCGGGAGACTGCGGGCTTATCCTCTCGTTTATGCTGATTTAATGTCGTTTTTGGTGGATGGGAATAGCCAAAATTCTGGGATTAGCTGGAGCGGGAACTTTTTTTATTTCTTGTTTTCCGGGTCAAGGGCCTCCTCTCTTTGTCTGTAAGGGTTCCCTGGTTATTTACAGTTTTGGTAATTGTTAATCAAAGCAATTTAATTCGCCATTTATAAGCCAACATAATAAATTCAAAGCCCAAGGAGACCATCTATCCATCGTATTCAAGGCGGAATTGAGATCTAGATAACCATGCCTCCTTTAGATCTTAACGACTCTTTTTGGCATGGCTTCCGTTACACCGTCTATTTATTTGTTATCCGAAATTAAAATCAACGGTTGAGAGTGGGAATTTTATTTGTTTCGGACTTTGAAACATTTATAATAAAGCGAAATGGGGGCTCTCACATTTTTTTAAAATTAAACGTTCATGTGAAGGAATCAAACATGTGATTTTGAGTTAACATCATAGAATGGGTAATGGCGGTAGCGAAGTTGTTATAAAACGACACTCAAATGTTCTGTTGGAACTTAAATGTTCAAATAAAAAGCTTGACTCACAGTAGATGCGGGACACCACTGTTTGATGCGCTGAATTCTCTCCAGTTCTCACAGAACCGACACGTGAACACGTGAACCTGTGCAAGTTTTGCAGGTCCCCATCTCTACTTTATTTTTAGCCTCGTCGATGAACCTTCCAACATATAAACACTAAGACATCGTATTAGCCTTTTAAACTGACCACTCTCTGC